ACAACCCAAACTCGGTACCCAAAGGTTCGACATTGCAACAAGATAATAAAAATAAAATAATACTAAAAAATTTATGTAGTAGTAGCGCAAGCGGATAATTTAAATAAATTAAAGCAAAATAAATGGGTACCAAAAGTTCATTAAAGGAAGATAGTCATTTGGGCTGTTTATTTTATTACACGAGTCCAATCAGAAATATAGATAGTAAATAAAAAAGAAAAAGAAAAAGAAAACATTGTGATTTATCCCCCATCTTGATCCTGCTAAATCTCGTCAGTTGAAAGGGGTAACAACTATAAGCACATAATAGAGTGAGAAATATTATACTGTGAGTATAGGGGCACAAAATAATCATGAATAGTTATTTAAGCTAAAATACTAATATAACTTAATTTGAATAAACCAATTATTTAAGTGGTAGAAACTGAAATATAGGAATTATATAAATAACCACAACCACGGTACAGAACAGAACATAAGTCACTGAAGTGACAAACAGAACAGAGGTCAATGAATCTATGACAAACAGAGGACCACAAAGTGGCCAAACAGAAGCCAATGGTTTATTTAAGTCCTCCAAGGTGTGGGACTCCCGTGGTGGTACTTACAGAAAATAATTATTTACCAAATCATTGTCAAATAATTTATAAACTTTAAACAAATATATCCATGGGTTTCAATTTGAGCAAATAGAGTTCATAAAATAATTCACGTAATTGAAACATGAACATAACCATAAAACATAAATTATATAAATTAAATTGTGGTAATTCAAAACATTCGTAAAATATATTATGGTAACTCAAAACATATATAAAACATGTTATGGTGACGCAAGGTATAATATAACTCATCTTAAATTTACTCCTAAATTATTTTGGGCTCACTCCCCGTTTCTAAGGCTCCTTTCCAACCTGAATCCCTTGTGTTTCTTGCTTGAATGCTTTCTCCTACAACACCAACCCTATTTATACAGAACTAAGTATGAGGCCCAAGCAACAAGGCATACACGTAGGTAATTTCCCTTAATGCCACCTGTCCTTGGCCCCTTAATTTTACCTCAAGGAATCACCAAGGGCTATAGTAACCCTTGGCCCACCGAAAACTTGTTTGGCCATTTTTTTTAATTATTATTATTATTTTTATAATAATGAAGAACTGTATTTATTGCAGCATTGAATTAAATTTAACAAAATTCGAGTGTCATATCAAAATACAAACCAAACACATCTTAAACCTTTAGAATTTGCCACCTAAGTAAGAAAAAATCACCACTTATAATAATAATATATATATGATATGATATGATGAGATGCTAATAGTAGCTATTACAATTTTTAGCGTAAAGTTGGGTAGGTGACATCGTCCTAACCCTATGACAATGCTATGTTTGGGGGAATCACAAGTTTGGGAGAAATTATTTTATTTTATTTTATTTTTATTTTTTTTGTTATATAGGATATTCTGGGCCAATTTACGTGCACCAGGTTAAATTCCTATAGCCCAAACAAGCTTTTTAATTGCGGTTTGTAGTCCTAAGGTATGCATTTGTTGGCTATGAAATTCGAACCTGAGACTTGAGAAGGAGTAAACCTCCAGGCCCCAATCGTTGCCTACTAAGCCAACCACCCCGTGATTGGGAGAAATTATTTGGCTCATGCGGAATCTCAAAATGTCCCATGTTTTTTCCAAATCAAAATCATTTGTTTCCTCTTCCACTATGTTTTTTATTCTTGTTGGATTTTATTGATTTATGGGGTTGTTCTTCATTTCTGTCTCTCAATTTTTTGTGTGCATGTGTATTTTTAGTAAAACATATATTAAATGTGGGCATATGTTAAATTTAATAAAACTCTAAAGATGATGTGGTATAATTTTAAAGGTTTTAGATATTTGTAATTTATATAATAGATGGGGTCAGTAATAATAATATAACACTAATTGGTATACTAATATGTATATTAATTGATACATATAGTACCACCGACAAAAATAAGTGAGTAGAATGTTTGGTATCGTTTTTCTGAAAACAATTTTCAGAACATTTTACTTTCTTATTTTTCGTATTTTTTTATTTTTACTGAATTTTTTTAATATTTTAAGCAATTTTTTTAATTTTTAGACATACCTAAAATAAATATACCTAAAAAGTAAAAAATTTGTAAAAAAAAAACTATTAAAAATTCACTAAATACCAAAAATATAAAAAAATACGAGAATTCAGTACAATTTTTATATTTTTTATGCATTTATTATTTTTTAAAAATATTTGTTCACAAATTTTTTACTTTTTAAATATATCTAAGTAAGTTGCATTTAAAAAAGTAAAAAAAATGCTTAAAATTTTAAAAATATTCACTAAAAACAAAAAAACACAAAAAGTAAAATACTCAATTTTAAAAAAATTTAATCTAAAAAACTCAAACCAAACACACGAAATAAATGTTGAATTTAATAAAAACGCTAAACTAGGGCCAAAACAAGCCCATTTGGAAATCTAATTAGGCACATGATTGGAAGCCGTCAGTAGAGCTGGCTTTTAAAATTTAAGATGGGCCGTTCCAATCCTATCTCATTTGCTGGTCTAAGCCCACGACCCTAGATCCGAGTTGGTGCAAGAAAAGTCTTAGGGGCATTTCCCTAAATAAGCTAAAATAGTAAGTCAATTTCCAAACTAAGCATAGTTTTGAAAGAATTCTCAAAATAGGCTAAATCGCGGTTGTGAACCACGATTTCAACACATATACGCCTTTCTCGTGTGGAAGTAGGGAAATCTTAAAATCGTGGTTACAAAACGCGCTTTTGATTAAGAAATCGTGGTTACAAAACGCGCTTTTAATTATTTTTTTCTTCTTCTGAACTCGCTGTTCCAATCCACGATTTTAACCAATTTTTTTTTTCTAAACTCGCTATTTCTAACCACGATTTTATCAAAAAAACATTTTTCTTCTGAACTCGCTTTTTCTAACCACGATTTTATCAAAAAACATTTTTGTTCGGGACTCGCTTTTCCTAACCACGATTTTATCAAAAAACATTTTTCTTCGGAACTCGCTCTTTAGAACCACGCTTTTTGGCCAAATTTTTTTTCTTCTAAAATCGTGGTTATGAACCACGCTTTTAGCGTAAATTTTTTTTTTTGTGTTTTTTTTTTTTTTTTTTGTTTCTGTTGTCATTGTTTTGGTGATAATGTATTTCGAATAAGTTTTTGGGTTACAATGTTTTTACTAAAAACCGTTCTCATGTTAATTTTTTCTTTTCTTTTGTCTTTATTTTGGGTTAGAATGTGTAATTCAGCATTTTTTTGGCTTTACTAAAGTAAATTTATTTTGTTTTTTCTTGTGTTTGTTTTGGGTTAGAAGGTAATAATGTAATTCATAAATTTTTTGAGCTTTAGTAAAGCCGTTTTAATGTAAATTTTTATTTTATTTTATTTTTTCTTTATTTTGGGTTATAAGGTGTTATTAAGTAATTTGTTTGGGCTTTAATAAAGCCGTTTTCATTTAAATATATATATTTTTTCTTTTGTCTTTGTTTTGGGTTAGAAGGTGGTAAAGTAATTCATAAATTTCTTTTCGCTTAGCCATTTTCATGTGAAGTTTTTTATTTTTTATTTTTTTCTCTTGTCTTTGTTTTGGGTTAGAATGTGTTATTCAGAAATTTGTTTTAGCTTTACTAAAGCCGTTTTCATGTAAATAATTTTTTTTTTCTGTCGTCTTTGTTTTGGGTTAGAAGGTGATAATGTAATTCATAAATTTCTTTTCGCTTTACTAAAGCCGTTTTCATGTAAAGTTTTTTATTTTTTATTTTTTTCTCTTGTCTTTGTTTTGGGTTAGAATGTGTTATTTAGAAATTTGTTTTGGCTTTACTAAAGCCGATTTCATTTAAATAATTTTTTTTTTCTGTTGTCTTTGTTTTGGGTTAGAAGGTGATAATGTAATTCATAAAACCTTGAGGAAAAAACATATAAGTCTCCCACAAAAATACATAGGTAGTACAGACATAAGTCTCGGACAACAATACATTGTGGACACAATGAACTGAACACACAATACATAGATAAACACAATGGTTAGACAGACAAATATTAACCAGACAATCTGACAAACTCATTACGGAAACACTTACTCTAACACAGACATTACATATTAATGCATGACCTAATATTGCCGAAGTGTAGACATTAACACCTAATTCGCGCTTAAATCGGTAGGTAGCTCAGAATCTGAATAATCCGAAAGATCAACGTCAGAGACAAGCTCAGGATCCTCCATGATGCCCTTGATAGCCGCATCATTTGGTTCTGTTTTGTTCTTTTGGGCATTCTTCTTAACTATGTATAGCTGCATATCGCGGGCTAACCTACGGCGCATTTGAGAAATCTCACGTTGTAGTCTTTCACATAGTCGATCAACATTATCAGGATCTTCCTTTTGGATCTCAACAGAACGTGCTTTTGGCATCTTCAGTCAATTTTCCCGACATAATCTTTCCATTTGCACTCGCTCTATAAATAGTGCAGGCCACTTCAAAAGTCTAGCGTTTGCTAAACCATATCCTATTTGATTATCTGATGGTTGCTCCACCAAACCACATGGATCTCGATAGTACTTAGGCATGACAAAATGTCGCTTCCCAAACCTATCATGATAAGCACAAGAGGCATCTAACAAAGGAAATGGTGTTTCATCTTCAGCATCGCCACTTCGTCTTCCCCCTCCTCGTCGTGAATTGTCACCCCTTTGCAAGTTCTTACCACCTTTGCGATTCCCACTCCCTCCCATGAACCATGTAGCCATGCTAATTTTCTAAAACAAATGAATGATAATTTCGTAGGGCGAAATGAGTTGTAAGGTTGTGTTTTCGCCTTTAGTCGTTTCTATAGTTGGTTATGAACGGCTTTAGAAAGATGCCTCTGCATGACAATCCCACATATACGAACAAGGTATGAGTTGTCATCATCATCATCTGATCCGCCTAATAAATTTTCTTCATCGCACATTTCATTGTCGTCATCGTTTAGGGCGACATCAGGACCGTACATGTCACTGTCAGCAAACTGCACCTCGTTCACTGTTTCAGCCATATTACCAGCAACTTCAACTGGAGTGGTATGATAGCTGCATGTGGGCACATCTTGTGTGTTATTGTCAAATTCATAATCATATCCACCACGTGAACTTGATTCTACACCATGGCCCTAAAATGACTGTTGTGTGTAGCACAGTGGATAACATTGACCTGATTCATACATAGGAGACTGAAATGCTGTTGTGTCAATTCCATGCGTCAGCAATGTAGTGAACGGACGATAATCCATTTGTGTCATGTTCGGGATATTGTGTACAACCTCTTTATCAATGTAGACTTCCAAACAATTTGGTGCTTGAAAACTTGCACCGATACTTAATATGGTGTTCAACGCCTCATCGTCATTGATCGGTAATATCTTGTATTTGTTGTGCGTTTGCCACTGGCAATATGGATATCTATATTTGAAGGTCAATCGGACACTTTCCCCGTAACTTGCCACCTTTGACATAAACATCTCCTCTAAATTGCTAAGCGTGGTGCCAATTTGCACCGCATATATCCCTTTCGGCTCAGCATCATATGAGACGCCTTCATCGGGATCCCGAATTATGTTTCCCCCCCAATAGAAAATAATTGGAACAGTCTCCATATACTTGCTTCAATTAAGACAAAAAACATTAAAATAACAACAATATACTTATATCTCCTTGTACTTGTAAAAGAATTATATGAATTTTAACTCATTCAATTACAATTACTTGTGACGCAAAAACTTTATTTAAGTAATCAGCAATTGTAATCCAACAAGCAGTAATGATTTTTGAATTAAAATATGAGTTAAAATAATGATAATGCTTTAGATTTTTTAGCTTTTTAAGAAACAAAATCTTACAAACACATACAAATTAAAATCATGTTTCTTCTGTTATGCTTTTTTACACTTATTTATTATGATTAAGATCATACTCTTGTGCACATTAAACAAATTCAGCTAAGTTTTAGGTCTGAAAATCTTTTATTAATTTTGGATTAATTTTGTATAAATTATTAAAAAAAATTATTTATAAATTATAAAGTAACAACATTTGTAATCATTAATAAATATAATTGATGTAAGTTGATTTAGGTAATTGATAAATTATAAATCTAAGTAATTTAAACTTATGAGTGTAAGTTTGTTAATCTGTATGAGTGTAAGTTGTTAATCTTGTTACTTGAGTGTAGGTAAACTTATGAGTGTAGGAAAATCCAACAATCTTATGAGGTAGAGTAAACTTATGAGTGTAGGTTAAACCTAACTTTACATCAAAAGAACAACCTACATTAAAGTAACAATATTTCTAATTTACCTAAATTTCTAATCATTACATGAATTATGAGTGACGTTGTGAGTTCTATATAAATTATAAAGTGTGGTAAACTTTATTTATACATAAAGAAATTTGATTTATACATATTCGTGACCGCGCTTGTAAGTAAAATATGTAAAACGTTTGTTTTCAAAACAAATTTTGAACAAAAATTCAAACCAGGACTCACTCTTTATTTGTCACAGACACTCACACTCTCTCTGTATCTCTCTCTCTGACACACACACCCACAACATTCACACTCACACTCACATCAAACATATATAATTTTTAATATATATAAATTTTATTTTATAAAATTCAGAACAATTAATTTTTTTTTAATTTAATTTTTCTTTTCAAATAATTTATTTTATAACTGTCATAAACATAAACCTCAGGGGTGTCAATGTAATTTACCTAAATAAAAAAATTACATTTTAAGAATTAAAGTAAAAAAAATAATCATTTTATATAGTTGATTATTATTTGCTATTATAAATTATTATTATATATATTTAATATTGGTTTCAATTTTATAAAAATATATATATATATATTAAAAATTATATATGTTTGATGTGAGTATGAATGTTGTGGGTGTGTGTGTCAGAGAGAGGGATAAAGAGAGTGTTTGTGAGTGTCTATGACAAACAAGAATGGGTACTGGTTTTGAATTCTTTGTTGAATTTTTACATTTTGCTTAGAAGTGATTATTATCCACGGGTCAACAGTAAAACGGTGGTTTGCAACCACGTTTTCTGAAGATAGAAAAAATTACTTAACAAAAGCATGGTTATGTATAAATCAAATTTCCTCAATTAGATTTACTTTAAAAAAATAATTACTTCAAAATTTATGTATAAATAAAATTTCCTTAAAAGCGTGATTTGTAACCTAGACAGATATATCAATAATTTTGAATACGAAGACATTACGAAGATTCTTCTTTTATTTTTCTGTTCATATAATTTTATACTATAATTTTTATCAAGTATTGTATTTATTCAGTGCGATTGGACAAAATTGGACAAATCATACAAAAATCTTAAATCATAGTGTAACTTTTTCTATGAAATTGTTTTTTTTTTCATTGAGTTCAAATAACTCAATTGATTTTGTACGACTTGTTCTTAATTTTTATTTCAAACATTATTCATGTCATTTTTTAAAAGTGGTGGTCTAATTAGTGAGATTTATGGACAATTAAAGACAAGTTACTTTTATTTGCTCAAGCTTCTGCCAACATGGACCTTAATGACAAAGTTATTTGGTAGGTTATTTCCTATGATATTATTCCCTAACTTAGGGAAATAACCTCATACGAAATAACGTAGGAAATAACTTAGGGAAATAACGTAAGAAATAACATAAATAAAAAATTAATGAGCTCTCATAATTTTAAGCAATATAAAAAACATAACAAAAAAATTATCGACCTGAATCAAGTTAAACTTGAGTTTCATTAATATTAATGAGCTCTCATTATGTGTTAAAAATTAGGTATGCTCTTTTCAGATCTCAAGTTGAACTCTCAGTATTGTCATGTTTATAGGTATTAATTGAGATTTGTCGGATCTACGTGGAAGGGACGTTTGGTGTGGATTGTAAGATTAGTCGATAAATACGTAAACTGATTCAGGCATCCGACTATCATAAAAAGTTAAAACTTAATTGAATAAACATAATGCAGGCGCATAGAGAATAACTCAATTGGATAATTCAAATGGGTAAAAATTATCGAGAATGACTCATTTTATAAATCAAATATTTTAATTTTTTCAAACATAATTCTTAAACAATTTTTTTTTTTAATATCAAATGTTTTCATAATAGCATTTTCCATGATGACTTGAAAGTTCTCGTTTGGCAAAGAGGTAAAAAGTAATTTTTTGACTTCTAATTTTTTGTGGATCAAATTATTTGACCCCTAATGTTTATATCAATTTTGTTGTGGATCACTTCTAAAAAGTCATTTATTTATATCAAATTTATAAAAGGGAATGTCATGAAATTTAAGGAGGAAAAACTCGAAAATGAAATTCAACCCTAAATGGGTCATGAAATTCAAGTAAACTATACTTTTTATATTTAACCACGATTAGATTTGAATTTAGTGAATAAATTTAGTCAAACCAATTTTTCTTATCGTAGGGGCATGTCGCATCAATGGCATATTTTAAAGTTTTCTTTCTTTTTTTTTTTTTGTTTTTTGGGTCAACATTCTAAGTAGTTAGATTTTTAATTTGTTAATAAAATTTTAGTGTACTACTTAAAGAGTCACTCATAGAAAATATTAACAATCACAATCACTCTTTAAAAAAATGTAATAAGAAAACGAAAGAAGGCCTACACCGACATAAAATTCAATTATCTGACTTTTCTATTTTGCCATATCCCTATCTCCAAAATATATATATATATTTGTTCCGGGCCAAAATTATGAGAAAACTTCCATAACAATTTATTATCACAAATTTTGTTCCTTACTTTCCAATTTCTTATTCTTACTTAAAAAATTGAAATTTATAACAAAATTTTTTTTGTTCCTTTATTAATTTTAAGTTATTACTACTCCACATCACTTAATTAATAATAATTTTTACAGCCAAATTAACGTTTCTCTTTCTTATGTAATTAATTAACAGCATTAAAATTATTGTAAATATTTAGTTACACTTTAGCTGCATAGGACTAAGGTAATTTATTGGAATGAAAATAAAAGGGAATGGCATGATTATTCCTCAAATATGTTTTGATTAAAAAGAAAAATTTGTAGAAAGTGAAAGTGAAAGGAGAAAAAAAAATAATTTGGAAATTTTGAAAGAAAGGGATAGAAAATTTTGAAATTTTAATTATAGATAATTTTTATGTAGACAAAATTAGATTTTTTTTGTGTTTTGCCATGTTTTTTTCAATAAATTATAAAGTTAGTTACGATAATAATATACAAGAAAATTATTATTATTATAGATAATTATTTATTGATTATGTACAAATTATTTGTTCCTAAAAAAAATCATATAACATTATTAAAAAAATTTAACTTATCATAAATTTCTTAAACCCTAATTTCTGAAACCATAACCCTCATTTCTGATTTCACAATTTAAAACCCTAACCCTAATTGAAAAATGATTTTACATTCATCAATTCAAAACCCTAATTAAAAACCAAAACCCTCATTTCTGATTTCACATTCAATAGAAAACCATAACCCTCATTTTCTCGTTTCAAACATAATATTTAAATTTTTCTAAACAGATTCAACATTCAACAGATTTCACATTCAACAGATGTCACATTCAACAGAAATCTGATTTCACATTCAACAGATTTCACAATTATAAACAGATTTAAGATAAATATAAACCATTCAACATTCACATTCTACATATTTCTAAACAGATTTCACAAATATAAACCCTAACCCTAACCCTAACCCTAACCCTAACCCTAACCCTAACCCTAATTTAAGATTTAAGATTTCACATTCAACAGATTATCTATAATTAAAATTTAACAAATTATCTATAATTAAACACATTCAACAAATTATCTTTAATTAAAATTCAACACATTCAACATTTACATTCAACAAATTATCTATAATTAAAATTTCACAAATATACACCCTAACCTTAATTTATTATTTCTGATTTCACAACATTTTATTCACAAATATAAACCCTAACCCTAACCCCACATTCATGAACCCTAACCCTAATTTATTCACATTTTCACAAACATAAATGCAAACACAAATATATTCACAAATATAAACCCTAACCCTAATTTATTCGCATTAAAGTAGATGATAGAAGCCATACGAACGATAGAGAGACAGTACTGAATCAGAGGGAGCTCGAGAGAGAGAGAGCAGGGAGCACAGAGAGAGAGAGAGAGGAGTCAGAGCGAGCGAGAGAGAGAGAGTAGTAAGACCGAGAGAGAGACAGCAGAGGGTGAAGAAGAGGAAGAGAGGAAATGTAACAAGCGTGAATGCAAAACACGGGGCTGGGAGATCATATATAGGTTTTAAAATCGTGGTTGTGAATCACAATTTTACTTAATGAAAAAAGAATTTTCAGAGCGAGAGAGAGAGTAGTAAGACCGAGAGAGAGACAGCAGAGGGTGAAGAAGAGGAAGAGAGGAAATGTAACAAGCGTGAATGCAAAACACGGGGCTGGGAGATCATATATAGGTTTTAAAATCGTGGTTGTGAATCACAATTTTACTTAATGAAAAAAGAATTTGCCAAAAAACGTGGTTTAGAAAAGCGATTTCAGAACAAATTTTTTTTGATAAAATTGTGGTTATAAACTGCGAGTTCAGAACAATTTTTTTTTTCATAAAAAGCATGGTTTTAAACAGCGAATTCAGAACAAATTTTTTTGTGGATAAAATCGTGATTTGTAACAGCGAGTTCAAAAGGAAAAAAAATTAATTAAAAACACGTTTTGTAACCGCGATTTCTTAATCAAAGTCACTTTTTGTAACCACAATTTTAAGTCTTCCCCACTTTTACACGAGAGAGGCGTATATATGTTGAAATCGTGGTTCACAACAACGATTTAGCCTATTTTGAAAATTCTTTCAAAACTAGGCTTAGTTTGAGAATTGACTTACTATTTTGGCTTATTTAGGGAAATGGCCCAAAGTCTTATAATTAACTCAGGACAAGATAACAAGAGCCTGCGTGCCAAACAGAGCCCAAAATCACGTTTGATTACAGAGCTCGACTCGAGCGCCGCAGAAGGAGGCAGGCAGGGTTTTTCCAACTTTCTGTGCGAGTGTTTTTGTATGTAGAAGGAAGGAAGGAAGGAAGGAAGTGTCTTATCTTCTTCGTTATTCTGTCTCTCTCTGTTTCTTCGTTCAGATTTCCAACAAGAGTAGAGTAGAGTAGAGTAGATTCGAGCATCTCGCAGACCCCAACAATGGCTTCCATTCTATCAAAGAAGAAGAAGAAGAATAACAAGAGAGAGAAATACAGTATTTCAGAGCTGAAAACCCTAGGCCACCAGCTTCTGTCTTCCAGGGCTCACATCAACAACCTACCTCTCCTCATGAGCTTCGTCTGCTCCGGTACCTCTCCGCCGCACTACGCCCTCGAAGCTCTTCTCTCCGTTCAGTCTTTCTTCACTCCTATCCTCCCCGACCTTCCTTCCCACCCCCAAGGCGACCCCCAAGATCCCGAATTCATCTACCGCACTTGGCTCCGATCCAAGTTCGATGATTTTGTCAATTCCCTCATCGATATTGCCGTATCTCCCCAATCCAAAGAAGCTCTCAGGGTAACATTCATTCATTGATTTCCATCTTCTTCTCCAGGCACCGTCAATTTAATTTGTCATTTTTTTTTTTTTTGGAATATAATTTTATTAGGAACTTGTGTTGGATACGATAATGGAGTTCGTCAAGGTTGGGAATGGGGGAAGGTTTCACTCCTGTATATACCACAGGTTTATTTACAGCATTGTAAGTTTGTTGCTTCATTTTTCTCAACTAATAATTGTATCAGTCTTAACTTTTCTACTTTCCGTTGTTGTTGTTGTTGTTGTTGTTGTTGTTGTTGTTATTATTGTTGTCACATACCCCTAATTCCATTTCTCGTTTTGCTTCCATTTGCAGCTTCATTCAACTGTGGGAATTGAAATTTTCTTAGATTTACTTGTGTCAAAGTACTTCAACTACATTGACATCCGGTATGTATGTGTACACCATTATCTTCACTTGTTGCTCTCTTCTCCTTCTCCTTCTCCTTCTCCTTCTCCTTCTCCTTCTTGGGGGATTCATAATTTTTACATGGTTACATATTTATGAACCAACACTTGTTATTTTAGGGCTATCGGTAACACAATATCAATTCATGCTGTGTATATTTGATGGCTTAGATTTTTATCACACTCAGTTGAAATGCATGCGGTGTATATACATTTATTTGTATATACTTTTAAGTAACATAAATTTTGTTATTATTATTATGAATAAAGCTTCGTAGCTCGAATCTCTCTCCCCCCGAATCCCCTGACCACCCAAAACGACCGTTTTGGGCAGTTTTTTTTTATTTATTTATTTATTTTTCCTTATGTCTGAAAACAGAGAGAGAGAGCAGAGAGAAGAGAGAAGAAGAGAGAAAGAGAGAGAAAGAGAGAAAGAGAAGAGAGGGGAAGAGGGAATGGAGAGAGAGAGAGGGTCGGCAATCGCAGCCCGGCCCAGTTTTTTCTGGATCTGAAATGAAGGGAAAAAAAAAAAAAAACTGTTGGCTGGTGTTGATGATGATGATGGTGATGTTGATGAACATGTTGTTGTTGATGATGAATGGGGTGGGTTTGATCTCTCTCTCTCTTTCTCTGCTCTGCTCCTTTCCTTTCTTCTTCTTCCTCTTCTTCTTTTTTGCCCTCTTCTTCTGCGTTATTGAAAAAAAAATAAAAATAAATAAATAAATTCGGGGGATTCGGGGGCTTCCAATTCGAGCTACTTAGCACGGTTGTATTATTATTATTATCAAGGGATGATTGAACCTTAGAAGTACAAAATCATGGAGCATGCTCCATGTATCCAAGTACCAATACATGACATGTTATCCAGGAACAATCTCTAATCTTCTTCTGAATAAAAAACTTACCCACACAACTTTTTTGGATAACTTTTTGCACGACATGTGAATGTCGTCCACACATTCACCAAGTTGTGCACTAGGTGGTGCATGTAGTATTGTCGTTTTCTCAATTACATATGGTAAACACCTAGGAAGTATGGATATCAATACGAAATATGTATACGGCAATAAGACAAAAAAGAAGAAGATATATGTATGGTTAGGATACGTTTGTAAAAAATGTATTTAAATTTTTTTTATTACTAGTGAGTAGCACATAAGCTGAAGAATGTTGAGAAATTATAATATAATTTCATAATATTAATCTTTAAGAATTAAGTATTAGTTTAGGCCAATAGCTAGTTTACTTTTTAATTTTCAATTGGTCTTGTAAATGTTTCATTTTAATATCAAGTGTAGTATGTTTATATTACAATAATAGACCAATCCACAATTTGTTCGTATTTTTCCATTTTGTACTAGTCAAAAATGCCGTATGCAAGTTTACTTGTTTATTTTATTGATGGTATTAATTTTACTATTGTTATATTCTTTTGTTAATCATTATGTTATGTGTAGTAATAGGGGACACGCATGATACAATAAGGATACACCAATTTTACAAATTCTATTACTTTAGCTCACCATGTTCTTTTTATTAAAAAACTAAGCAAAGTATTGGAAAAATATTCTTGCATTTATCCTCTCAATTATATTATAATGCTATGCAAGAAATGTTATTCTAATTTTGTAAAAGAAGTAATACATGACTCGGAGTATTTGATACTTCAAAATTAAGTATCCGATATTTCAAAATTAATGAAAATTAAATTAAGAAGTATCCAATACTTTTGTTAAGTATCGTATACGTATCTGCGAGTATCTAAGGAGTGTTGGTATCCAATATAGATATGTCTACCTTTTAGAAGTATCCGTGCTTCATAGGTAAACACAAAGTAAAATGCAATGTCCAAGCAACTCAGCCTCAACTTGCTTCCATTTTTGGATTAGTTATATTTAGAAACCCAGTTTTGGAACTTTGAATTCTGAAAATTCTATCTCATGCTACGGGCTTATCATTTTTGCATAAATTTTATTTTGCCTTTCATTGATTTAATTATTGTCTGGGATAAATTTTAGGGGAATATCGTACCTATAAGTATATAAGTTTCCAAATGAAATTTTGTTGATAGATACTATAATTCCTTCTTGGTACAGTTGTTTTACTTACATCACTGTAGAAAAGTTGGCTCGAACTCTGGAGGCGAAAGACATTTCTGGTACTTCTTCTGCATACTTGTTAATTGTGTTAGTAATTTTCAAATTCAGGCATCAACCTTTTGTTTTCTTAGTTATTCTTTTATTACATTTTATACTCATAGTTTTGTTATTTTCTAATCTGGTCTACAATTTCCCTCCTCTATAGACAATAAAATTGTGAGTGTAGACGGCCACAACAAAAGTCATTCAAGAACAAGGTTAGTGTTACTTTTATAGACAGCCCTTTCTGTGCAGATTAACCATTTCTCTAATCTTTGCTCTCCTCTTCTTTGTGATAAGATTTGGATGTGAAATAAATTAAATGAGTGGTTATGCGGTGCTTGATTTCACATGAATGGTATTTGTAGTGAAGCCTGCTTCACATAGTCACATGGTTGCTCGAACGTGTTGCATGTGCAATTGAAGTGTTAGGTGGTTTGATGACTGGCATTGTTCTCTGTTTGGCTTTTAAATACATTAGAAATTTTCAATTTTGCTTTTTTATGTAGACGTGTGTCGTTTTAGAATTTTATTCTAGTGAACCTAGCCTATATTAAAAGAAAAACAAAAAAAAAAACACAAAAACACTGAAGTCTTGCTGGTGTGTTGCAGTGTAGAGCTCCCTATTCACAAGATATATCGTATCTTATCACACATCCCCCCTTTAGAAGGCACGGATGAGAAAGCTGAACATGAGATGTGGAATGGATCAGGTGACTCCCTGCTTCTGTTTAATATGGAATTTGTATTTCTCTCTATTTTCTATTTTACAATACTTCATTTCTGTTGTTATACATTATTAGGATGCATCAAATCTGTGAATTCTGGTCTTTAGCTTGGAATTAGATGGCAAAAACATAATTTTTCTTCTGTCTATTTGCCTGGGACAAGTGCTGACTAGATGTAACATGTTGCTTTCAATTTGAATTTTGCTTATACAATGCAAGGTGTGTCGAATTATGGTTATTCTAGGCATGCGGCATTACAAGGAATTCTTTCTTTTTCTTCCCTAAGATGAGAAGGTTTTAAGCTGCTCCCAGAATGTGGTTTCTTCTGAACTTCTCCTAATATTTGTTAAGATTAGAACTACTAGTAAACAAAACATTCTTTGGCAACATATTATGGTTAGAGTGGAAAACATACACTAGTGCACACACACATGCCTATATGTTCATGTATATCATCAGTGCATTTTGTTGTATACGTATGTGCTACATAGTGACATTTTTTGATATTTAATTTTTTTAATTATTTAAAGAATAAGGATTGTGAGGTTCAAGCCTTATGCCACGGAGCTCCTACTATTTCATGCTTGAAGAGCTGTCCTTTCCCTAAATGGCAAGCTTATAATTGTGTTTATACATATATATGTATGTTAGACAGACTTTAACACTAATTTTCTTTTTCTAAATTTCCTCTGCTGTATCTGTTCATGGTTCTTGTTAGTTTTACCTTGCTCTTGAATGACCTTCTAGTTTTGTGGCAACAAGATTCTTATGTTTGTTTCTTTTTGATTAGGAGTCTTTGTTAAAGAACGTGATCGCAAAGAGCATTCTCAACATCCAAAAGCAGATGATAAACAGAACAAGGTGGAGCAATCTAGCAGTAACGTATCTTGTTGAATTATTGGATTATCCCAAGTTTCTTTTTTCCCTTCTAGAAAAGAGATTTTTTTGTTCAGTAACTATGTATTCCAAACCAATCTCATACTGATAATTTATTGTCTTTGTTTTTCTTATTTTCTTTAGAACTGTTTTGTTTTTACACCTAAGTAATACGCAAAAAGTATTTCTGGTTCTTGTAATACTTTATTTGCAGTACCAATGTTTTAGGATTTTACTGTTTTCAGGTATTGTCTGCAGTTAATATTGCTAAAAAGATGAAATTGAAGTTTACTAAAGCTTGGATATCATTTCTTAGGTTACCACTCCCGGTTGATTTGTACAAGGAGGTAAACCTCGTAGTGACAGTTACTTCTTGGTCTTGTGCATATTGATTGTTTAATTTGTTTTTTATTGTTTGGATCCAATTAGACCCTTGGTGCATGGTTTGATTTGTCTTCACTATTGATTTTTAGACTGACTTTCTAATTTCTCTCTCTATGCTTATTTTGAGCCAATAAAGTGAATTCATTATTGGATTTGAGTTGATCTTTCAGACTTCACTAACTCTAAACTGCTTTTTGGTAATGATTGGTTTAAAAACACGTCTTTCCCTTAGCCTCATGCTGCCAGTTATGCCCATCTGACTCTTCATTCATATTACATTATGTAGCTTTTTCTTTGTTCTTTTGAGTTATTAGTTTCATTTAATCCTTATCACAACTTTCTTATGACGTGTGTTTCCCTGCCTGTCTTCTGATGTTCAGGTTCTTGTTACTCTTCATCAGGCAGTCATCCCTTATTTGTCGAACCCAATCATGTTATGGTGAGCCCGCATGCTGAGATATCGTTTTCTTTTCTAAGCTTTCTTACTTAATTTATGCTTACATCTGATACTTTACCTCACAATATGCAGTGATTTTCTGACAAGATCATATGACATTGGAGGTGTTATCAGTGTCATGGCTCTTAGCAGCTTGTACATTCTTATGACACAGCATGGCCTTGAGTATCCTGACTTCTATGAGAAGCTTTATGCACTATTGGTACCCTCTATCTTTATGGCAAAGCATCGGGCAAAATTTTTTGAGGTGATCTTTTGTGGTTTATAATTAATTGTTTTGTAAACTAAAAATATTTAGGCCAATTTCGGTGTCGTGTTCATTTCTCAGTAGTCTAGTGAAAATCTGAATCTTAATATGTTATTGGGATACTTTTGAGTTTTGCTTATAAACATTCTCCATTCAATAGCCAGGTGACATCTACGAATTATGTGTTTGTGCATGTGTGTGTGTGTATCTACACAGTACAGTCAATGGTGGATACAGGGAGGAGCTGGTGGGGACAACCACCCCCCCCCCGGCGGCAGAACTTACATATTTTTATATGTACTAATTCGTAGAATTCTGTAATTAATTAACTCCCTGTCCCAAATTATTTGTCCGGCATGAAAAATGATAACTTAAAAATAATGTATTCTCGCACGAAAATTTTCAAATGTTTTTCACTAATTGAAAGATCTCATGAAGTACTTCTAATTTGTGAAAATTTTTTTTTTTTTGAAAATTTTGACACAAACTCATTATTTTTAAGTTTTTGTTTTCTGTACTAGACAAATAATTTGGGACGGAGGTAGTAATAATTATCTTGATGTTGGCCTTGTTCACCTAGTAACTCTTCAACTTATTTTATATTCAATCATAATTGTACTCCTTCCTACTTGAAACTACTATAATATATGATGATAGTAATTCCAATAATTGTTAGACATGGATTGTAGGGGTCTCCCATGAGTTTTATTTTGAGCCAAGTTATTAAATGGGTCATTATATATAGGTCAAAAGTCTAAATTTCTTATTTTGATATTGAAGTAGAATTAGAAGTCATTAAAATTTTTTATTATGATTGAAGTAGAATTGAAAGTTATAGTTGGTCTAGAATATTAGTAGTTGCTAAATAATTTTAGTTGCTAAATAATTTTAGTTTCTAAATTTGAGTTATAGTCCTTACAAAATTAGGAGAGTCATTAGCCTATAAATGTATGTGTAATCTCAATAATTCAATAAAGGAGTTAATATTATGAAAATTCGAAATTGTGTTTGTGTGATTGGCCTATCTCTAGTGAGGGTGAAGCCCCCCCCCCTCTCTTTCTCTCTCCCCTCTTCTATCCAGCAAGGCTACTGTTCGCATCACTGTTCACAGTGCTCAGAACAGCCCACCCGACAGCCCCTAAACACTTGTGTTTTCATTCCCAAAACCTTCGGGGGGTCGGGTCCCCGTCGGGCCGGGTTGAAATTGCCATCTCTACTCAGAACAGCCCACCCGACAGCCCCTAAACACTTGTGTTTTCATTCCCAAAACCTTACCTTTTTACAAATCCTTAAACTCATATTTTAAATACTTTTGCTCCCATAAAATCCCACTAAATCCAGCCTTATAAGTCTATTGTTGCTGCTGCTAGTATATTTAACTCGGGCTCAGTACTTCTGGAAAGGTAATCCCTACTCGTCGTACATCAATATATATATATTTTATTTCTAAAGTTTTAAAGCACTTGTAAATATATATATATACTTAAGTGGCAAGATTACGTTTTCAAAAAACCCAGTTCTATAAATAGTTGGTCTATCAGCACCATGAGCAGTTATTATGGTCAACATATTGATTAAGCAACCAAGTTGAAAATGAACTTAATTGATTGTAGGACTTCTTGTGGCTTTGATTAACTTTGTTAATATGGCAGCTGCCCTTTCTGTGAGCAATGGTTTTGGATTGGCGGTTATTGGTTTGTTTTAATTAATGTTACATAGCAGAATAAAAATGCCAACATGGCATGTAAAAAAATGTTAAAAAAAAGCTAACAAAGTAACATAGGTGGCATAAAAAACATTATAATTGGAATTAATTGTTAAGGAGTGTTAGATTGGGAATACTTTTTATTTTATTTTATAAAATAGTGTTATTTTGAACAAAAGAATTCATTTTATTTTGGGCTGAATTTTCTAACTTTTGCAATATATTATATGCAGCTTCTTGATTCATGCCTAAAATCACCACTTCTTCCGGCATATTTAGCTGCTGCTTTTGCTAAGAAATTGAGCAGACTGTCACTTTCAGTTCCTCCGTCAGGAGCGTTGGTCGTTATTGCTTTGATTCACAACCTTTTACGGAGACATCCTTCAATCAACTGTTTGGTTCATCGGGTAGCAATTTGCACTTAAGTTCTTGTATCAACGTAATTGTTTGTCTTTGAAATCTTTGCAAAATATATATGACATCATGGTTGTTGGATTCGTGCAAATGAAACTGGGGACTTATGCTGTGCATAATATTATTAGGCATGCAAACACACAAACTGTGACTCTCTCTCTCTCTTCAAATGCTAGAACAAAATACATGTTCTCAATGTTTTCATAATAGCAAAATTAGCATAAATTTTTAAGTTGACCAAAGGATTTATTTACTTTGGAGTCCCAGGGTACGTCATTGATAGTAATGCATGTAGTGAAGGTAAATCGAATGTTAAAATTATGAAGATATACTATTCATTTGCTATAGGGCTTTGTGCCGGAGAATAGAGAGGTACAAGATGAGCAAGGATGAAGTGGTATTATTGATTCATATTGTGGAAAATTATGCCTAGGTCACAGCTAAAGTGGCCATTGTTATCTTGAATCGACCATTTATGAACATTGCTAATATAGTTAAAGCAAAGTGCATGAAGTGGAGAAATTTGTTTACTGCAGTGTGTGAATGATAAATATGTTTTGAATTGCAAGGAAATTTCATATGATAGGTAGAAACTGCTCATGCTTTATAGAACAGTGAGCTGGAGAATTCTGAAGTTGATAGGTAGACGCTACTCACTCTTTCATGTCTCAACTGAAATGGAATATTTTACATTTCTTTAAGTTTAGAGATTTTATTATATTTTACAATTCTTAAAAGTTTAGAGATTTGAGTTTACTTGGGTTGGACCATGTTCTCCTTATATCTATTTGATCTTTTGATTATTTTTTACTCTTTATGTATCTTAGCAGCATTCAGAAGAGCTTGGGCTCAGCATTTTTTAATATTTTCTATTTGAGAACGAGGAAGTTTCGATATTTGTGCAGGAGAATGGTGATGGAACTTCTAGGGATGATTCTAGAGTGGAGGATGGTGAAACTGAGGACTCCTGTACCAAACCAGAAATATCTACAAAACCAGAAATATCTAGTAAAAAATCAGGGATTGATCATTTCAACAATGAGGAAAGTAATCCTGTAAAAACTGATGCAATGAGTAAGTTTCTGCTTCGAGATTTGTAAATTTTCATGTATTTGAATAAATTGCTTTGCCCCAACCCATGCCACCAGCACCACCATGAACATATGTGCAGTACACCCACAGAGTTGAGGTTGGGTAGGGGGGATTGACTGTCAAAGCATGTTGAATTTTTAACTTGATGCATCTTTATTTTTCTGTCTTTTCTTAGATATATAGAAATCTCCTTTTTCTGTGTGATGCTTCTACTCTAAACGACTACGAGTATGTTCTATTGTTTGACTCGGCTTCTATATTTTAAAACAATATATATATATATATATATATTCCATTATATAAAGCACACAATTCAGAACATGTTTTGAAGCTATGACATGCATTTTCTCATATCCAAATTATTCTTATGCAAATAAATCTTTAATATGCTTACACGCTTTTGTGTTTTTGTCTGAGTTTGGAAGACCTTGTAATGGCGAGTACTTTCTTGAACCTGCTTCTGTTGTTTCTCTCTGTCTGTTTCTATATCTCAAAACAATATATATATTCTATTATATAAAGCACACAATTCAGAACAAGTTTTGAAGCTATGTCACGCATTTTCTCATATCCAAATTAACCTTATGCAACTGCTCAGATGACAGTTACAGCCATCTTTTCTGTACATGCATCGCACTTGTGTGTAGCCTTCTAGTATATATTTATAAATGAGGACATTGAGATGGATCGATATTGTCAATCCCAACTAATTGGGAGTAGACTTTATTGGTAGCTAGTCACCTTGAGTACTTTGTTGATCCATTCAGCTTTCTGGCCTGTGAGAAGGATGCACAGATTGAAGCAATTTTCAGTTTAATGCTTCCATGTGGCTTATGGATATTTGATGTCTTTTTGTCTGCTATTATCTGTTATGGAGTCTACAAAAACCCGGGAGTCCTACTTATTGACAATTACGGGGCCCTACAAATTTGTACCTTTTATACCATGTTATTCGTTTGATTTCACTATTTAGTTGGTAACTGTCCTGCCTTCATCAGTCTGCAAATGTCCTGTATGATTAATGTATAAATTTTCATTCTTCTTGACTGCTATTCTTCTTTTCTTGTTAGCATTTTATGTCTTTCAGAAGAAAAAAATGCCTAACAATTGACAACATGTGTGCAGGAAGTTCTCTTTGGGAGATTGATACCCTCCGTCACCACTACTGCCCACCTGTATCAAGGTGCATGCTTTAACCTGATCATCTCTGTTTCCTCTCTTGAATGTGCTTGCTTGTTTGCATTCTTTAGAATAATGTGTTTTAATTACATTGTTTGGCATTTCCTTTTCATTGACAATACCTTCTTTTTTTAGATTTGTTTTGTCCCTTGAGAATGATTTGACAGTAAGAAGCAAAACGACTGAAGTTGCGGTTAAAGATTTCAGTTCTGGTTCATATGCAACAATATTTAGAGCAGAGGTATATTTGCATCTATTTACACAAGAAAAAGAAAAAGAATATTCAATTATGCTTTCATTAACGTGATTCAATTCAAATAAAGACTTAATCCACTTGCAGATTGGACGAAGGGTAAAACAGGTTCCACTTGCATTCTACAAGGCAACTCCCAGCTCTTTGTTCTCGGAGTCTGATTTTGCTGGTTGGACTTTCAAATGTAAAGAAAATGGCGAGTTATTTACTAGTGGTGTTGATAACAAAAACATAGACATATCTGAAGATCACGATCATGGTTCTGCAAAGCGCCAGCGAATTGAGTGCTCGTGAAGCAAGTGGCGTCTTTATTGTTATAAAGTTTTGACTTATTGACAATGTCTATTTTGTAGCTTATATGCTTGGAAGGCGTTTACTTGGTTCTTGTTCCATTTTTCATATTTCTCTACAATGCCTTTTCTTTTCTTTTCTTTTCTTTTCATTTTTAATAGATGTTAATGTAATTGGAGTTGCAAATATTTCACTTATCAATGGATCCATTCTTGTGGGGATTTTTGTCAAACGGTTGTTAATACGAGTAATAATAGTGATAGTTGTGAGTATAATAATTTTTTGGAAGACAATGAAACATTGAGATTCAGTCTCTAAATATTTTTATTCTAATTTATATTTAGTTGTACGAATGTCTTGAGATTTTCTTTTTCTCAACATTATATGATTGAAAATATATTAGAACAAATGGACAACAAAAATTGGCTGGCCTAATTTAGAATCATCTTTCCTCTGTGTGTGTGTGTGTATATCTATATATATGTCAAATAGACATTGTCTTTCCTAATTTAGAATCCCTAACATTTCATTTGAGGACTTGTTGGGTAATACATGCAGTTGAACCGTTGGTGTTTGAATTTAGTTATAGTTTTGAATGTATATATTCAATTTCAATTGCACTGAGCCATCCTAATCCAATCACAATCTGAGCTCAAAAGCTCAAAATATATAATTTAGTTGAAGTTGAGGTACGTAAGCAGTGAATAATATAATGCAGGCATTCTTTGGTGGGACTGCCTACTTGTGACCTTAACAACAGTGCACATGCTTGAGATGACTTGCCGTCTCCACATCCTACCCCCCAACAATGCCAAGCTGATGTACCAATCAAAGGCCATGCTGCTTTATATATACATATATATATCCTGCAATCAGAATGAGAGAGCAGTGCTGGAATTATTGGTTAATTGAGCACAGGAAATTAATATGGACGAGAAGTTTGAATCAAAAGGAAGAGTATGCGTGACGGGTGCTTCTGGTTTTATCGCCTCTTGGTTGATCAAGAGACTTCTCTTGTCTGGGTATCGTGTCATTGGAACAGTTAGGGACCCCGGTATCTGTCTCTCCCTCTCTCTCTCACTGAAATCAAAAATTGCATTTTGTGTATATTGTAATTAAAGTTGATTTGCTATGAATATGCAGGAAACAATGAGAAATTGGGGCATCTGTGGAGGCTGGAAGGAGCCAAGGAGAGACTTGAGTTGGTGAGGGCTGATCTAATGGAGGAGGGCAGCTTTGATGACGCAATCATGGGATGTCACGGTGTCTTCCATATTGCTTCCCCTGTTTTGGGCCAACCATCTTCTGATCCAAAGGCATGTTCGTGTTAATAGACCCTTCATTCAATCATTCAATCTATAAGCATGTTACTGTTAGCATTGTATATACATCACGTTTATATATATATTTGAAGTGGTGCAATATTATTGGAATAGGCTGAAATCTTGATACCTGCAATTGAGGGTACATTGAACATATTGAGTTCATGTAAGAAGAATCCATCATTAAAGCGAGTGATTCTCACCTCGTCTTCTTCAACTGTAAGGGCAAGAGATGATTTCGACCCAAATGTGCCTTTGGATGAATCATCTTGGAGTTCTGTGGAGCTCTGCGAAAGACTCCAGGTTAATCATATTATCTTAATTATCCAATTGAAATTATTTTCCAACATTGCAATTTTACTATATGGGTCTGCTTCCATGTACACAGCAAAACAAATTATAATATCCCACTACGCATTTTGAAGCTCATCACACCAGCCTCTTACCTGCAGCTGCATTAACTAATAAATATTTATATATATGGCCTTCATCTCATAATTGGTTTATTATATATGAAGATTTGGTATGCTTTATCAAAAACCCTGGCTGAGAGGACTGCGTGGGAGTTCTGCAAAGATAACAAGATTGATCTGGTGACCGTTCTCCCCTCATTTGTTGTTGGACCTAGTTTGTCACCTCATTTGTGTACTACCGCATCTGATGTCCTCGGCTTGCTTGAAGGTAGTAATTAATGCATTCCCCTGTTGCTGACCAACTCGCTAGCTCGTTGCTATTTTTCTCCACTTTCAAAAGTTCAGTCAGTGGCGTTAAGGAATGTTATCTTGTTACTTGTATTTGTAACCAAACTGGAGTTTGGAAGCACACTAATTTACTTATTTGACTTACAGTTTGGTTGTGTTTGATCTTTCGAATAAACAAATAGGAAAGACTGAGAAATTTCATTGGCATGGAAGGATGGGATATGTGCACATTGATGATGTAGCACTCTGCCACATCCTTGTTTATGAGCATGAAAATGCACATGGACGATACCTTTGTAGCTCAATTGTTGTCGACAATAATGAGCTTGTTTACATGTTGTCTCGACGCTATTCAACATTACCCATTCCCAAGAGGTTGGCATTGTTTTCTCAGTAAAGATTAATGTTATCAACATTAAACTGTTCTATTTTAGATTATTAGTTTGTAAAACCTTTCATTGCTCTTGTAATATTGATGTTCCAAGGTCCAAATCTTTTTCTTTTTTTTTTTTTGGGAACATTTTTGAAGTGAAAACATGCATAATATTAAAATTTATAAAAGTTTGGATGAAAATATTCAATTTGCGTGACAAGAGAGAATTTATTATCTTATGATCAAGGGAGGGGGGATTTATATGTAGCAATTATGTATGTATTGTATGTGTACGTGGATTAGTGATTGATGAGCTGATGATTTTTACATGTGGCTTATATTTCAGATTCCAGGCACTTGATAGGCCATATTATGAGCTGAATACTTCTAAATTGAGAAGTTTGGGATTCAAGTTCAAGTGTATCGAAGAGATGTTCGATGATTGCATTGCTTCTTTAATGGCGCAAGGACATCTTTGTTTAGCCTAGTCTAGTTACAACTACTAACAACTTCCTACAATATTTTGAATATGAACTTTTTCTTACTCTGACATCGATCGAATTTTAAAGTTTACTTCTTGTAGTTCACACCTTCCTTCTAATATTTTCAATGATTCATTATGAATAAGAATAATATATATATGTTTCCCCTCCCTCTACAAATTCATGCTATAAATGGAATGCATGGTGAACAAAAAGAAATTGTGCTCTAGAAATTGAAATTTGTGGGCGGTCTAATATGAATTCACATAGTAATGTCAATTTTTTGTTATTTTTTGTCCCATTTGTGTACTCTCTACCGAGACATGTAAATCTCTATGTATATATTTTTTTTTTTGGTGTGTATGGATGTGTTTAATATTTTTGCCTAAATCTCCAAATTTAGAGATGTTAAATTTATTTGAAAGCTTGTGGTAGTTTAGTATTTCAAAATTCGATGTCTTTAAAAAAAAAAATTCTCCATGTAATTTTTTATTTTATTATGTTTTATTTGACATACACTACAGAGATTAACAAATGAAACTCATTGATTTAATACCCCATCATATTTATCAAAGAGAGTCCTAATTTCAAAATTACATAAATTATTAAGATTTTAAAAAAAATAAATTTTACTAATTTAAATAGAACTTTCGGTGTCATTTTGTTATTATGATACCCACATACCACTACCAAAATAATCTCCATCATGATTGGTTGGTTGAGGATTTATGGCCTTAAATAATATGATTAATATTAATAGTGAGGAATTATCAATATATAGAACTAGCGTAAAATTGGTTCTATGCATGAGCAAGTAACAAAATGTAATAAATAATACTAAACATGTTAAAAATTAACTAAAAACTATAATATTAATTTAGATGAGTATTTAAATAATAGATTTGAGTGATTTCACTATATTTATATAGATGTGCAGGATTAATTAATTTTTTTGAAATATACTCATTCGAATAAACTCAATTAAAAAGGAAGAGTAGGAGTGAGATTCTATAAATATAAGATAAAAATAAAAAATAAAAATAAAAATTAAGTTTAAATTTGAAGATGAATATAGAAAGAGAAAATTATGTGGCACGTGACTTTCCTCATATTGGAAACGGCACGACCAAGCTGTGTGGCTTATGCGCATTAAAAACACCTCTCACCTCCACCTTTTAACACTAACACAAACAACCAAACAATTCTATGTCTACTAATAAATCAGCTCCATGCATTTGATCATTGAAATTGTTCCGTTGGATTGGACAATGAGACTGGCTTCTCTCCATTCCTCCATTGAGCTAGAGAGGTACTGTGGGACTCAATGGACTCCTTTTTTAGTCTTGTTTCTATAATTTGAGTCATTCATATTTTAAGATTTATTGATCATATCATCCTTACAAAAAATCAAGTTAATCGGATAACGACAATTACATGTTCGGATCAATTTTGTAAAAAAAAGTAAACGATGAGAAAATAAACGGTTTATACAAAATTAATCCAAACACGTGTTTTCCGTTATCCAATTTGATTTTTTTTTAATAGAAATAATATATTCAATAAATTTTAAAATATAAACGATTCGAATCATGGAAAAATATAAAAACTTGCCCACTAGGCCAGACTGGACGACCCAGTCCGATGGAAGATTGGAGAGAGTCCGATAACACGTCTGATAGTTGCTCCAAGTTACTGATAAGAGAATTAATTTTCTTGAGTCCAATAACGCGTGATAATTGCGCCTTGTTATTCATAATGAGAAAAGCTAGAAATCATGAAATTTTTTTTCATGAAAATGATTATGAAAGATTTGTGACCCTCGGATTGCCTTAATTAGTGTGTGGTGCTTTAGGAAAAAGTTAGGGACCATGAAAATTTTTTTATGAAAATGATCATGAAAAATTTATGATCATTGGATTACTTTGATTAGTGTGTAGTGCTTTATTCTAAGTGTAATCAAAGAGTTACAAAGCTTTCATGATTATTTTCATGAAATTTTTTTCATGATACCTAACATTGTTGGGTGCTTTATTTTAAGTGTAATCTAAGGGTCATAAATCTTTCATGATCATTTTCATAAAAGTTTTTTCATGATACCTCACATTGCTCATTGATAATTGCGTCTGATAATTGCTCCTAGTTATTAATTGTGTTGGTCATCCATCCAAACTAGGATCCTAGTTATTAATTGTGTTGGTCATCCATCCAAACTAGGAAACTAGGATTTACACTAGTATATATACACTACACAGCTTCGTTTATAGTGACTTCTTTCCTTGGATTGGTGTTCACGGTTTAATAACGTGATTCATTCTTGGTGGTCTTCACATATCATACACTTGGTGATCTTCGGTAGTCTTCTTCTTCTTCTTCTTCTACGTTGGGTTGGTGTATTTGATTTTCATTGCATATTAGTAATATGTTGTTACACACTCGGGTTCGCTCATCTTCATTTGGTGGATTCGGCTTTATTGATATGGAGACGACAACTCCGTGGTTGCCGTTGCCGACACCAATACCTCCACGTCCACCTCCGTGGTTCCCTACGTTCCTGTCTACTGACGATGAACAACCTTTGATCATCCTTAAGTTTCTTCAACACTCTCTCGCAACAGAAAAATGGTGTATATGGAAAAAACCAAAAATCGGCTGGATTAAATTAAACACTGACGGATCTATACGTGGTGGTCGAAATAATGTTAGGACTACAAGTTATGGTGGTCTTCTACGTGATTACAATGGTCTTCCCATTTGTGCTTATGTCTCCTCAGTTCTTCCTCCCAAAGATGTACATAACATCTTCGTAGTCGAATTATGGGCCATATGGAGAGGTCTCATGCATGCGTTCAAACTGGGTATTAAATATATTTGGATCGAGTCTGATTCGTTGAGTGTCGTCAAAACAATTAAGAAAGAGCAACAATGCTTTCATTCAACGGCTAATAGCGGATTGGACCACATTTGGCGACTTCTAAACAAGTTTGACCAATTCGAAATTTCTCATTCATGGCGTGAATCTAACCGGGCTGCGGACTTTCTCGCGAAGATGGACCTTGGAGTTAATGATGCTGTTCTGCAGCCGGTTGATTTTCCAGAAAGCCTGATCGATATTATCAATGAGGATGCTTGTGGAAAGTTGTACATGAGAAGCAAGAAAGATTAGTTATGGTTTTGTTATAGTGATTTGTAATATTATTGTACAATCACAATTTGTTGTGTATGTACATCCTCAAATTTGAATATAATATTAGGGTTGTGTTTTTATTTTGGAAATTTTCTCAACCGCAAGGGCAAGAGATGATTTCGACCCAAATGTGCCTTTGGATGAATCATCTTGGAGCTCTGTGAAAGACTCCAGGTTAATTATATTATCTTAATTATCCAATTGAAATTATTCCAACATTGGAATTTTACTATATAGGCCTGCTTCCATGTACCAGCAAAACAAATTATAATATCACACTACTTATTTGAAACTCATCACCCCAGCCTCTTACCTGCAGCTGCATTAACTAATATATATTTATATGTATGGCCTTCATCTCATAATTGGTTTATTATATATGAAAGATTTGGTATGCTTTATCTAAAACCCTAGCTGAGAGGACTGCACGGGAGTTCTGCAAGGATAACAAGATCGATCTGGTGACCATTCTCCCCTTGCCATTTTTTTTCACTTTCAAAAGTTCAGTCAGTGGTGTTAAGTAACTGTTATCTTGTTACTTGTATTTGTAACCAAACTGGAGTTTGGAAGCACAATGACAGTACTACTTATAAACCCTTCACTAATTTACTTATTTGACTTACAGTTTGATTGTGTTTGATCTTTCAAATAAATAAATAGGAAAGACTCAGAAATTTCATTGGCATGGAAGGATGGGATATGTGCACATTGATGATGTAGCACTCTGCCACATCCCTGTTTATGAGCATAAAAATGTGCATGGATGATACCTTTGTAGTTCAGTTGTTGTCGACTATCCAACATTACCCATTCCCAAGAGGTTGGTATTGTTTTCTCAGTAGAGATTAATGTTATCAACATTAAACTGTTCTATTTTAGATTATTAGTTTGTAAAACCTTCAATTGCTCTTGTAATATTGATGTTCCAAGGTCCAAAATTTTTTATTTTATTTTTATAATTTGTAATTTTGACAACATTTTTGAAGTGAAAACATGCATAATATTAAAATTTATGAAAGTTTGGATGAAAATATTCAATTTGCGTGACAAGAGAGTATTTATTATCCTATGATCAAGGGAGGGGGGATTTATATATAGCAATTAAGTATGTATTATATGTGTACATGGATTAGTGATTGATGAACTGAAACTGATGATTTTTACATGTGGCCTATATTTCAGGTTCGAGGCACTTGATAGGCCATATTATAAGCTGAGAAGTTTGGGATTCAAGTTCAAGTGTATCGAAGAGATGTTCGATGATTGCATTGCGTCTTTAATGGCGCAAGGACATCTTTGTTTAGCCTAGTCTAGCTACAACTACTAGCAACATCCTACGATATTTTGAATATGACCTTTTTCTTGCTCTGACATCTATCGAATTTTTTTAGTTTACTTCTTGTAGTTCACACCTTCCTTCTTGTAGTTCCTACAAATTCATGCTATAAAATAATGGAATGCACGGTGAAGAAAAAAAAAATTGTGCTCTAGAAATTGAAATTTGTGAACTGTCTAATATGAATTCACATATTAATGTCAATTTTGTTGTTATTTTTTGTCCCTACGTGTACTCTCTACCGAGCTATGTAAATCCCTATATATGTTTTTCGGTGTATGGACGTGTTTAATAGTTTCACCTAAATTTTCGAATTTAGAGATGTTAAATTTATTTGAAAGTTTGTGGTAATTTAGTATTTCAAAAGTTAATGTCTTTAAAAAAAATTCTCGAAATATTAAATTTATTATTTTATTATATTTTATTTGACATACACTACAGAGATTAACAAATTAAACAAAATTTATTTACTCATTGATTTAATACCCTATCATATTTATCAAAGAGAGTCCTAATTTTAAAATTACATAAATTATTAAGATTTAAAAATAAATAAATAAATTTTAATAATTTATATAGAACTTTCGGTTTCATTTTGTTATTATGATACCCACATACCATTACCAAAATAATCTCCATCATGATTGGTT